ACTCCCCACCCAGTGAATACCTGGAGTATCTTTTTTTGCCCTATATGGATGATCTGATCCACGAGGACCATGACTGGGAATTGTTTGATCGTCTTTCTCCGAGGAAGAAGCGAAACATAATCAACTTGAATGATACAGAAATGGATCGAGCCATCTCTTTCTTTACCCAAGAAAAAGTATTTTTATTTTGCCTGTTGATTGCAAATATTGTGCAGGGTACTCTGCACAAGCAAGTTAGGGCACATTAGGAATCTTTAGATGTTGGATAGGTTGTTCCTCATTCTTCACTTTTGTCAGGATACTGGGTTTCTCTTATGGTAGATGGGTTTCACCAACCTTCAGTGTGAAGCCATGTTATGTTCACTCATGGAGAAGTTGTCTGTGTTCTCGGCGTTTCTATTGTTATTCCAGATCTCTTGTACTCCTTGTTCCTTATTTATTAGTGAATCTAATTGGTTTCCCATATTTCCTTCTCTCCATTTTTAGCTTTTCATGTGTAAGATTAGAGTTCATCATTTTTTGTGGTTGTTCTTGCCACTACCATTTGCTTGATTTAACTAATGGTCTTCCTATGATTGTCAGTTAAGATCATATTGACATCAACGAAATATATGTTGGTCACACTTGAGCATGATTATTTCTGTGAAATAATTATTTGACATACTGTGGCTATTGTTCTCCATCAAAGTTGTGGTTGCCAATACCTACTTTGGTTTCTTGTGCTTATAGAACTAAGAACTTTCAGCTTGCTGGATTTTCTTCAAATTTAATTTTAGTTTGAGGTAAACTTTCTTAGTCTAGGTCCTATTCTTGCTAGATTAAGATCAGAACAGATAAAAAACATCAAATAATTTTTAGACGAAACAGTTCAAACAATATAAATATAAGTTTTGCAGAAGAATAAAGAGAGACGAAATATCAATTACAGAATACATAATAGATCTGGGCACTTTTCTCACAGCTTTCTGGCCTCTGATACTGATGAAAACACATCACTAAATAGTAATTCTCTACTGGACATGCAGCTTAATTTCAAAACAATATGTTTTATGCTGAATTATAACTTTCAAGATAACATGTTTAATGCTGAATTATTTTGCATGTTAATCATAACAGTTCATGACTCCACATTTTCTTTCTTTGGTTGCTTGTGATTTGAGTTTATCAGAATTTTAACTTATTTTTCTTTATAAAAAATAGATGGACCGGAAAGCATAGATGGATATGTGAGAACTGCTAAATCATCCAGAGAGTAACTTGAGGTTATTTTACTCATCCAATTCATCCTGTTTTTATAAAGCTTGATGTGATACTATTCAAATTGTGTTGATGTATTTGGACTTTTGTTAGCTGTCATTGACCAATAATAAGTCACAGACATTTAGGTTTTACCTACTGACAGTCTGACAACCAAAACCAAAATCATTATCTTTCTTTTCCGGTTCTTGTGATTCTGTATGCTGCACCTGTTCTCTAAAAGAAATAGGATCACGTTGATGCTGCTGCTGAGAAGGAACTAATTCAAATCAACAAACACTATGCAGTCCAATTACAAGTGGACCATTTCTGATAAAAAGGCAACATTGAAACATTACATATTTGGGCTACCATCTATAGAATTCGCTGCCAGTAGTGTTGGATCCATTCTTTGAACACACCAGATGTTAAACTGAAACATCTACAGCACTGCTATTTTACAACTCTCCCTAAGTGTTCTTTTCTTCATAATGCAAGATACTATTCACTATATCTATTTCTTAATTGATAAGTCTCCTCGCATGCAAAATATTCATAATCTCTTTGAACACCGTTCTATGAATTGGTTCAACTTGCTTCAACTATGATTAAGTTGACACTCAGATGCAATAATTCCCTGTACTTTGCTTGACATGATATTTCTAATAAACCATTCGTTCAATTGCCATAACACACACATGACTTCACCGACTTAGATATGACTTTAAAGCCGATCTATGCACAGAAGATAGTATGCATGTGAAACTCATTTGGAGTTTTATTTAGTGAGATCCTCATCATGGGATTGATTACCAAGTTGTTTCTATGAAATTGATGTTGGTGTGTTCCAATGCCCATCTTAATTCTGATCCTAGCAGCATATCATGTATGGGCCAATGTGTTAGATTTTAGAAGACATTGCAGTCGGAGCAATTTATATAACAACATCATGGAGAAAAAATTGATTAGATGGTCATTTTGGAACCTCTAAGTGATCTTTAACATCGCAAACATCTGTCTTCTTATAGCATTTAACATCATGACTCATGGATTCATGTGTCATACTTGCTTTGACTGGAAGCTCCTTCGGTTTAAATTTGTCATGTTAACATGATGTACTTTAAAAGGTGATTTATTACTATATTAAAGTTATCTTTTCACCATCGGTAAGTCACAGAAACAACTTCTCTACCTACAGATATAAGAATGGTTATATTGACTTTCTATAGGATCATAGAAGCAACATTTGTAGAGATAATATTGACTTTCCATAGAATCACAGAAGCAACGCAAGTAGAGATAACATTACGTACCTTAATCCTCTTCAGACTCATTGATGAAAGCCTCCAGCATTAAATCACTCATCACATTGGTTTGATCTTCGGAGGAATCTTTCTCCAATTCTGACAAGCTATTCTTGTTCAAACCAAACTTTTGCACGCCTCGTTGGTGGGCTCTCCCCCTTTGTAGCTTCCTTTTGCACGCGGGTGCACCAACCAGCATACTCCACAACTAAGTATGAAGTAAATCTGTCACCGTAAGAGCCCACAGGAAAAACATCAAACACATGGCGTACCCCACAGCACCCCCTCCACTTTGGATCCTCTCTCTTTGTCATCTTCTCATTTATACCAGTAGCCATTTGCTCGAAAAGAAGTAAAATAAAAGAAATCAATCCTTATCTACTTGGGAGTGTGGTGGAAGCAAAGACTCCCTTCCGTTTCCTCCAACCAATGCTGCTGTCCATGATTCCTAGTGTAGCCACTGATCCCTCAAACTTGTTTTCCGGGTTTTAGGGCACTATTTGGGAGAATAATTCTGTTGCCATGTAACCCTCAGACATTTTTGGCACACAGACTGATACCACTAATTCTGCTATTCTTGTTCATAGTCCAAACACCATGTGAGATCAGTACCAAACAAGCTATATCTCCTGCAGCGCTGCAGTGATTCTTTGTGCCCACCACGCTCTGCACAATGAATGCCCGCCTACCTATTCCCACAATGCCAAGCAGCCAATGCAATTAGCACAGCTGGTATCCAACACTGTGTTCATCGTTGTGGATCTCTTGAAGACACACACACAAGTCATCAGCAGTGACAGTCTCCGTGCGAACCATCTCTCACTTTGCCGTCACATGGCCACATCCGAACCCAAACGCCATTGCCAGCGGCACATGATGCCCACTTTTGGGGAAAAAGGCGGCTCATCGATCGCCCTCACATCATCGGTACCAGCCGATCGTTCGAAAACGTTTCCGGTGTCCCCCGGGAATCCACTTCGAAAACACTTCCCTTTCTTAAAACATAATGCGAAATGACCAACTCACACCTACGTTTCGACACCGCACGTGGCCGCCCTGCAAAACATTGCGTGAGTTGCGGATCAGTGTTTTTTCCGTCGTTTGGGTCTCTTACTCGCTCCGTTACCATCTACGGTAGTTGAGATAAGATGCGGGGCCCCTGGCGCTCCTCTCCGGATGTGGATGCAGGTAATCTTTTGTGTGGATGATTTAGGATTCTGGTGTGCTATTACACGAAGGGCCAGTGATTTACCAGGCTGGAAAGCGCGACGTGCCGGTCAACCACGACATCGATCGGTTGGAGTACCGTGGCACGGGCAGCGGGACCCAACTGATCGCAAGGTGCCTATTACGTCATCGCACGAGATCGAACGGTCCAAAGGGGTACGCTGACATGGGGCCCAACAAAACTTGAAATTTCGTGCAGATTGCAGGGGGGCCCAACGATCGCACGGTCCACAGTGCCCTACCGCAACAGATCGAGTGATCGAAGGAAAGCCGCTGAAGAAGGGGCAACCACGGGAGCGCGTAACGGCTCCTGGAAATGCTAACACGTGTGCGCTGCGGCCCTCTCCGGGCACAATTGCTCGGCAGCTCATCGCACTTGTCGGCTTAGCCCACGAATCACGAAGTTACGATTCTGCCCTACGTGGACGAACGCCGTGATGCTAGTGTGAGTGTGATGATACCCACATGATTGAGGGGAGTCAGCATCGTGCTCGAGCTTGACACCTTCCATGCAAACGTGTATCCATCGATGCACCATGTAAATGACATGCTCTTATGCTATCGATGTTGTCGCCACATGGAATCAAATAAAGCTCACACATTATGCTATAGTTTTTCACTCAATTGGGTGCCTTGCTTTCAATATCCTAATTTGCTCAAAATAAAATTTATATCGGACTACGAGCTATTTACTTAGAGAAATTAATTTTTTTTTTATAAAAGGTATAAAAAAAAGTAGATTTTCAAGTGTAAAATAAATATTTAAAAATCAAATAAAATGAAAATATTTATAGGTAAAAGAAGAATGGCTCAAAATAATATCACATGAGGACAAGTTTGTCATTGGATCGGATCCGATTTTTGTCTCCCAACAAATCAAATCGGTCCACAATTTCCTTCTTCTAATTGACTCTTTGTTCCACTTGGTTGGCCCTATGCAAGATAAATAGTGTGTATGCTTCGACGGCTCAAACCAAATCATGTGTCGGTCTCAATTAGATAGTAGCGCCACGTAACGGTTGATTTCTCGGTTGCGGCTACGTGTCGGTGTGGTTAATGAATTCTCCGTTACGGCGAGGAGAAGAATTCGAAGCTCAGTGGCTTTTTCGTAAATGCATCGATGTTTGGTGGCGAATGTGTCACCTACCTTTATTGTAATGTCGCGCTCGTACTTCTTTTTGGGCCTCTCTCTCTCTCTCGTCTCTTCTCTCTCTCGCCCGCTCGTTCTCTCTCTCTCTCTCTCTCTCTCTCTCTCTCTCGTCACACTGCGCGAGCGAACGAGTCGTTAGGGTTTCTCCGGCCGGATCTGGTAATCCCGTGCTCCTTGGTACTATGGGGTTGTGCGATCTCTTTCTCTTTCTTGTTGGAGTGCGCTTTCCGGGGTTTGATCGCGTTGTGATTGGGGATCGGACCTGTTTTGGCTAAAGATTCCATCTCGGGCTGCGTTCTTGGCAGAATCGGGCAATGTGTTTCAGATCTCTGGTTTTGCTTTAGTTTCCTTGGTAGATATTGGGGCATTTCGGTTGGAACGTTTGCGGCTTGCGTAACTCGTGTGTTTTTAAGCTGGTTGAGCTTGTATCGGTTCCTGGTGACATAAAAAAAAGGGGGGTTTCTCGCTTATGCCCATTCCTCAGCTTGATGCGGGACTATATTGCGGGTAGATAAATCTTGTTCGTGAATTTGATTTCTTTTAACTGTCTGTATTTTGCTGCAAATTTGTGTACTTAAGGAGATCGGTAAACTTTGTTCTTCAAAGTTCGGAGCAGTGCTGCTTTTTTAGATGTTGGGTTGAGTACATTGCGTCTTATATGGTATAAAGATCGTAAATTTAGTTTGAAGTCGGTTTATTGAGAGCTTCTTTGAGAACTATACGTGTTTTGATACTTTGGTTGAGGAAAAGAAATTTGCTTGCCCTTCAAACGGATCAACTTATTTACGTTTTGAGATACTGCTGATTTTAAACCTATCAATATTTGGTTTCTCTGTTCCTTTTCTTTTGTGATTTAAAAAAAAGTTTGTGGACGAGTTAATGGTCAATGTTCATGAAAAAAAATAATTATGTTGGAACTAGACTTTTGTTCTCTGGAACATGACTGATTTACTAGGCATGATATATAATTCTGTTTGCTAATTATGTCTTTTATTAGGTCTGAAGTTGCATGCTCTACCTGTTCAGATTGCTCTCCTAAAATAGTTTCTGATATAAGGTTGTAGTTGGAAATTTCATTCAGCTTTGTCTACGATAACAGGTTTGAATGACAATAAATAGTTTGCAGCGGCAGCCATTTGATAATGCAAAATTCATAATATCATTATTGAGGTTTGTTCGTTAGTCATTTCAGTCCAGTCACTATAAAGTAATTAACTTTTGGCATGCTCTACGTTTCTGTTTGGCAAAATTTCTGCTTTATGCCACCCACCTTTTCTCTTAGCACTTATTTTGTTGTTGATAAATATTGTCTGTATTAGAGCTGTTACATGGCTGGTAACTCTGTACATATGCAATGCAACTTTTGTAGCCGACACCATTAAATTTAGTGTGGCCTATTGTTGAGAGTGGGCAGGGGACTGCATATCTAGTTCCAATGCACTTACTAGCTGAATTTTAGTTTCTTTCAGAATATCAGGGAATAACCAAGGGCCACTTGTTCTTTGAGTGACAAGATAATGGAGGGGGAGATAGGTGTAGATGCATTGCTTGATTATGCAATCTTCCAGATGTCATCAACTCAAAACAGGTATATTTTGATCGACATGATGAACTAATGCCTTTGTCTTGATAATCTTCTATTTTTGTTGTTTTCTTCACCGTTGACAGACTTCTGAATTGGAATTCTGAATAAATAAAATTACAGTTTAGCTAGTTTGTTACTGTGTCGGAATGACATAATTCAGTCAGATTTTTGAACTTTTATTTATACAAGTAGTTGGTGAAAACCTCAACCACCAGGAATAAACTAGTTATTCTAAAACCAGCTTGTATTTAGTTAGGAGACTGCATTTTCCTTTCTTTTCTTGATTGAGAATGTCCTTTTCAATATATATATATATATAGCTTTGCATTTGTGCTGCAGTTACGAGGCTCTCATTTGTAATGATGGCAAAATCGAAAAATTAGCTTGTGGTCCTCTGGATCAGCTCACATTGCATTTACCACAAGTGAAGGGATTTCAGTCAAACTCATCTGGCAATAGCTTTAAATTGGATTTGAGTAAAAGCTTCAAAGGTTCATCTTGGTTCACCAAGTTCACTTTAGCTAGGTATTTACATTGGAAAAGAAGTTATATGAATGATTATTATGCTCATAGGTACCATGATGTTTATCAAATTTTCATTCAGGTTTTTGCATATTGTTAACTACCCTGATGCAATAAGATCTGCCAATGCAATTTTAAATGAGATGTCCCAGTTGGAGGATACCAGAAGATTTCATCTCACGCACTATTCTAAGGTATAATGCTTGTCTACAAATCCAACAGAACCCTTTTGCTAAGGTCAGGTGCACTGAGGCATGCTTCTGTTCTTTCAGGATCACCCAGGCCATTCTGGAGGCATTACGTCAGGTATGTTCTAAGTGTTTTTTATAAAAAAATAAGATATTATAATAATTTTGTGTCACTTCTTCTAAGTTATGCCTTATCATAAACAGAATTTTGTTTTCTGCTTCATATGTAATTTAGTATATGAAATTTACTGTTAATTATCTTGACGAATTATGGCTTTGTGATCATTGTTTATTGTCAGATTATTTCAGCAATATGATTATCACATGTAAATGCTTCTTCCAAATAGAGAGGCTTGAGGCATGGATTGTACTCTAGGTCTCTTGCCGGAAACCTTTTTATTTAGTGCCTTATTATGACAATATATTCTACATAACTTGTAAATACCATGTGTGCATTCAACCGATGCCATGGGTATCTTGGTAAGAGTTATTGATTTAGCTGACAAGTGTAGCAAAAAATGGATGGAGTTAGCATACTTAAACTTTGTGTGTTGGAGCATGTGGTTATAAACTTATAATATCTGTTTGTTACCTTTGTACTTTACTTACCTATAGGGGGCATTGTACCAGAGTGAAAACGTAATTCAATATATGTCAACATGAATCTATTGGTGTTTGGTCTGATGCTATTTCATAGACCCGAGTGCCTATTTGAATTTGGTTGTGAATTTTGTAATGTTATTAAAGGAATGACTATTGTTTCACAATTTAACACAAATCATGTAATTGTTGCCCCAAATTATTGTAACCATGATGAGTAATATCAAGGCTTCATGTGCCAATAGAACCAATCTTTATTAATATATCCTCTGCGATAATATTAGTCCCTGTTTTGCAGGGATAGGTCCGAGTATGTTAATGCCCCCCCCCCCCCCCCCACCCCTCCCCCCTGCCTACTGCCAAAGAAACTGTAGCGTTAGGATCCTATACCTCAAACTACAGTGATTGTATAGGTGAAACTAATAGTAGTGCTTTGGAGTTTGTACTGTGGTTGCAGGACTTAGCTTCTTACAATGTTGCGCAAGTCTTATACTTTAATGCCTTTTTAAGAAAATATGAATAATGATTCCACCTTATTGTACTGTTTGAAGAAATTGTGATAAACACATCCACTTAACAAAATTTGTTGTTTTGAAGAGGCAAAAGCTTTTCCCAATTCTGTGATGAATTTGAATTGATTGTTTCTTCTGTTTGTATGCCGACAATCTTCCAGTTGACCATTACTATGTTTTTGTTTATGTTCAGATTTTTTTTTGTAAGTATATACTGTTTAAAGTGTGCATGAAACAGTTTGTATCTAACATGCTGATAAATTTTCATGAATTGAATATATCAGCTCTGGAGAACTTTTGCTTCTCTTTTCTTCAATTCTTCCAGCATTATTATACTTTGAAGTCATCTAAAATTCCAGTTTTCTCCATGCTGACAGGTGGCCACTTGAAAAATGTTGGATCAACACAAAATGTAACTTCTTTTTCTTTGCTTCTTTCCCTGTTTTTGCAGGGGATCATTTCTCATCTTTGTTTGATATTTCAATTTATAGGGTGGCACTAATGTATTTCCTTGCTGAATTATCTACAGATAAAAGTTGAGACAGGGTCATCAGATGTGACAAAGTATTTTCCGTCTCTTTCTGTCATCCATCACACATATATTTTGAAATAAGCTTAGCTTATCTAATTCGATGAATCGGCAGGAATGAATTGTTGCGAGCAATGGAATTAAGACTTACTGTCCTAAAAGAAGAGTTAGCGGCTTCTTTCAACCGAGCTGCAGGCGCTACTTTATCGGTCAAACAGATATCTGATCTAGCAGCATTTTCACAGCATTTTGAAGTGAGAGATTTGAGGTACCTTATCAAAGATTGACCACATAAAATTTTCTAATGTTCTGTGGACATAAACATGAAGTCTTGAATATCCTGATTGTTGGCAATATTATCTATTCTGATTTTTGTATTGTTCTGAAATACTGTGGCATAGGAACTGAGGCACTCTTAGATGGAGGATCAAATTAACTGTTTTACTGGTATCAAATGTCTGCAAAATTAGTTAATCTTTTGGAGTTTTTATCTTAATCTTATAATTTTATTTTAAATTTGGACCCTTTTCTTAAATTTCTTTTAGTTCATGCAAAGTTATCATGAAGCATGAACCTCACTAGAATGAGATGTGCTTAATATAATAAATTATGAAAATATGAAAATTAAAACAAATCAGGAAAAAATATTGTCTTGCCATTCAATAGTGTAAAAATAATCAAGGGACTAATTCAGGCTTATCAGCTACAAGGGAGGACAGTCAATTAGTTTCTAAGGGAACAAACTGCAGTAAAAGCATAATAAGTTTAGAAAACAGCATTTGCTTGAAGCAAAACAGGAAAGGTGAAACAGAATAGAACAGGAAACTGCTAAATTCAACATTCATAATTACTTTGGATAAAAAAAAATTCATAATTACTGTTTAGAAAAAAGAAGTGAATAATATACAGAAGGAAGAAGAAAAGGGATGACAGTAAAAAGTAGAAGGGGAAGAGAAGCAGCAGAAAAGACAGCTGCAGCGTCAAGGAAATCTGCAGCATAAAGAAAAAAAGGGAATAAGAAAACCAGCGGCAGCAGGTAGAAAACATCAGCAGCAGAAAGATAATTAGAAAAGACCAGTAGCAGCAATGGAAAATCATCAGCAGGAAAAGAAAAAAAGAAGGAAAGAAAGCAACAAGCAGAATGAACGTAAACAAGATGGGAGAAACAAGGAAGAAAATTTTCAGCACCAGGAGAAATGACAGAAAATGAAGTAGGCTGGGACATTTCTTCTCTTCTGCTGCTGATGTTCTCTGATTTGCTTGTCTTTGTTCCCGAGAAAACTAGATAAAAATGTCTTTTTCCTTTTTCTTAAGCCCTGACTACTGGAATGGCCATTCTTCTTGCTTTCTTGGTTGTTTATGCTGTTTGAATTTGAATTTTCTGATATATAACAATCCGTTACTATCAAATACCAGAGATGCATCAGAGTTTTATCTGGGCGCACAAGTTCTTGCCAGTCTCATCTAACACCCACAGCCTTCTAGAGCTGATGGCTTAAAGTTTTTATATAATTTCATGTTTGCATCTATAATATATCTGTTCTAGTATATTCAAGAAGCATAAACTGCATTGTACTTTGGTTCTACTTTCTCCGTGCATCATTAGTGGCTTTGTTACTTCGAACATGTTTTTAGTTTGATTTGCAACTTAATTGAGGACTTGTTTGTTTATTGAGTTCAGGGACCCTTTATCAAAGTACTTATCATTGATCCAAGAAGATCAAGTGGTTGAATTGTCGGTTGAAAAAATGATCTCGGATGATACAAGGAAAGACTCTGAGGTTGTTGCAGAAGAGATACATCCCTCAAGTCCAGAGTCCGGTAAAGCAAAACCTCTTCACGTGGGCATCTCCCCAGCCAAAATTGCACAAGCTGAGCGGCAGAGCTCGATAGAAGGTGATTCTTCTGAGTCTAGTGATGAAGATCAGACAATTACTGAAAGAAGCCGACCTATTATGAGATCTGTGACCCCTAGAAGGTCTGCTTCTCCCATGCGACGAATACAAATAGGAAGGTCTGGGTCTCGCAGGTCTACCGCACTGACCATTAAGAGTCTCAGTTACTATCCTGCCAGGGAAAGGATTACATTAAACAGGGATGTTGATGATAATAACAGCGGAGATGAAGAGGCACATCAGCCAGTGAAGAAGCCTGAGAATACAGTGAGAAGGATGAGCGTCCAAGAGGCAATTAGTCTCTTTGAAAGCAAACAGAAAGATCAAAATTTGGATGTTCAGAAGAGGAGGGCTTCAGGAGAAGTCTCTCTGAGTACCAACAAAGTTGTGTTAAGGAGATGGAGTTCTGGTATGAGTGATTCTCTGACTTGTTCTCAGGAAAATGCTTCTGAGGATGTGTCTCCGAATAACCATGCCGATTTGGTTCCTGAGGCAGGAGACAATATAGCGACTGATGTGATGGTTGAGTCTAATATTTCTCCAGGCAATTTAAATGCAACTGCATCTGAAACTGCTCAGATCACTGAATCATCAGAGACGGAGATAATGATATCCCCTTCAAAGGATAGTCCTGCTGAGTTAGTAACATCCCAAGCTGAAGAAGTGGATGATAAAGCGACTATGTCAGCTGAGTGGAGTAGGCAGAAAGAAGAGGAACTTAATCAAATGTTGATGAAGATGATGGAGAGCAGGACTGGCAAATACCGAGGCACTAAATCTGGTTCTAGTGGATCTCTGTCTACCTCAAATGAGCAGAGAGGTGGTTTTTATAGTCAGTATAAGGAGAAAAGGGATGAGAAACTTCGAGCAGGAAATGTCAAGAAACATTCGTCGATGGAAGCACAACTTAAGGTGTTGCAGGAAACCCTGAAACCAAGCAAAGCAGAAGCTGCCTCAAAATCTGGAGTTGCTATCAAAAAGCTTGACTCACCCAGCAATTCTCAGCGTCCCCGAAGAAATTCGTCTCCACCGGTGTTACACAAGAACGAAGTTTCAAAAACAGCAGCACCCAGAAAAGCTTCACCGAAATCATCACCAGTGCCAACTACACGTGGTTCATGGTCATCAGGACCATTGCAAAAGGCAAGTGGAAACCAACCAGCTAAAAGTTCTCCCAGAGTGTCTTCTGCTAATAACACATTGAGCCGCCGGAAGTTCCAGTCTACTTCTCCAACTTCACCTAGCCCCAAAACCGAAAGGCCATTGCGTCAACCTAAAGGTAAGCCAGAAGCCAAAACTGATGCTAAGCCAACTATAAAAAGCCAAGGAGAAAAGAAGCCGAAAACGACAACAAATACCAACAAATCTGTGAAAACCAAAGCTCAATCAGCTTCTGGAGATGATTCAGGTTCAGCAACGGCAAAGCCAAGTTTTTACAATAAAGTTACAAAGAAGAGTAGTGTTGTTCCTTTGGAGGCCAAACCCTTTTTGAAAAAAGGTACTGGGATTGGGTCTGGTGTTGGTCCTGTGATAAACAAGACTAGAGTTACTCAGTCTGACAATTCATCAAAGAAAAGTGACAGTACTAGTCAAGCTGAAGAAAAGGAGCCCACTCCTGAGACAATTGAAACTACTGCTAAGGTATTGGAGGTTGATCTTGCTCAACAAGCAAATGATGTTGATGCAAATTTAGTTACTTCACTAGATAATGATTTAAATCTTGAAAAAACAGAAAATATGGATCAAAGTTTAGCGGAAGTTGATGATGGGCTCAAGAACTCTGTAGAACTTCCTGTTGCTGAGATTCAACCTGATGAGGATATAAGCATATCCTCAGCTGCATGGGTGGAAGTAGAACATCAGGAAGTTTCCGCTGCATATGAAACTGGCCTGTCCAAAGTCTCTGTCTCCACCGCACTTGAACCACCGCTCCTATCAAGTCCACGTGTCCGACATTCATTATCCCAAATGCTTCAAGCAGACAACAATGAACCAGATATCATCGAGTGGGGAAATGCCGAAAACCCTCCTGCACTGATCTATCACAAAGATGCTCCCAAGGGATTGAAGAGGCTTTTAAAGTTTGCTCGTAAGAGCAAGGGAGAGGCAAATGTGACTGGCTGGGCTAGCCCATCAGTCTTCTCAGAAGGAGAGGATGACACAGAAGATTCCAAAGCTGCTAATAAGAACTTAGATCAATCGAGAAGAACTGCCCTTCAAACCAGGAAATCCATGCTTGGTGAAGGTTTGCATGATGGAAGTTCGAGCAAGAGGACAATGGAGTACCATGGAGTTCACAATGCCTTGGCAGGTACAAAAACAATAATATACTCTAATTCTCAGGACACTTACCTTCCATTCTACTTGGCTTCTCCAGAAAGTTAAACATATGGTATTAATAAGGTTTGGCATATCAATTTATTCTCCAAGATTCTAGACATGTCAAAGAGTTGGGAACAAAATTAAGTACGCAGCACTACAGCATTGATACTGTCATGTGGTAGTTTTAACTCATTTAAACATTAATCAGTGGAAGAAACCATATACTTCAATTCAAAATCTTTAGGCTTCATTCTTGGTCGGCAGCAACCAATAAGCAAGTATTTAAGCTATTTTGTTATGACATGTTTGATTAGTCTGGTTGCTTAGTGTTTTTGATTTATCTGGTGATTGGGTACTAAGTCTAATGATGAATGCTTACAAAGTAGTTATATTGGATGATCTAAGACGGTCAAATGAATTTTTTGCCTAATCAAAGTGCAATCGTGTGGTACTGTGCTATGTCTTTGTGGACCCTTGTGCTGTTCAAGTAAACAATATCAATCTCTCCTTTTCAGGTTCTGAAAAATTTCAAAAAGGTCAAGTTTCATCAACAACCACCTCAACTAAAGGTAATTCTTAATGCAGTAGATCTCTGTCGGTCATGTATTTCTAGATCAATATTTCATGCAGTTTCTTTCTTGAATGCGCTCTTCCCAATATTTGCTTCCACGTCTACTTTCAGCAGCTAGGTCATTCTTCTCTCTCTCAACATTTAGGAGCAGCAAATCGAATGAGACGAAACCTCGATAGTCTGCGGAGCCACAAGTCATAGTGCAGATATGTTCCTTCAACTAGCTCCTGTAGGTGTCTTACCTTGGCCAGGTATAGAGAAGCCAGCACTGGTTCGAGGAAATGTATGCTCCCCCACTTCTTTGATAATGGGAGAGCCATTGTGTGTTTTTGTTCGTTCTTTTTGTTGTCTATGTAATATCATGATCGCAAGAACAATTTTATCACAGTATAAACTTGATTTCATGTGAGGTGAGCATTGGTACGATCAGAATTGATGTGACTAATGTAATGAATGACATGCTGCAATGAAGTCTATCGTTTTTATCTGCCTGTCCATCTCTTAATGATGAAAGAACACCCAAGTTCTTTGGTGATTGCAATTAACTTTCCTTTGAACACATTATTCTCATGAAACATGATTGCAGTAATACATTTTGATAGGATCAGATTTTTTTTTTTTTGTTTCAGGCTTATATACGCTTGTTGACCTATTTATGGTTTGAAATGAGTTATAATGCTGGAGTAATTATTTGGATTTTGAGAGGGTGAAATTTGTGAGTACTCTTCCCGTTGTCATTCTAAATAATTTACTGTAATTTTATAGCTGACAAACAAAATTAGCCATCAAACACTAGAGATCATCATTGATTTACCAGATTTGCAAGTCTCATTCATAGTTTGGGTCGGACTGACATGTGGATTGGCATAGATTCTAATTAGTTTCCAGATTTATTCCATCGACAATTTAGGACAGCAAAAGTTTAATTTTCGGTACAGTTGGCAATCAAAGAATTGGTTTCCGAATGGAGATCGAGAAAAAGCCAGCGACTGGAACAAGATTAGCATCTTGTGCATCAACCCTGAAGACAACTCTTCTTCCTAAGTTGCTACAGATGTTTGTGCGCCAGTCCTTACGTCCATGTCCTTCATCTCAAGCCAGAGGCTAAGTATGTTCGATCAAAATCAGATTGCTTGCTTTTCTTGCGCTCCCGTCATGGAAAGTGCTAAGCAGTCGTTCCGTTCATGAGCAACAGCATAAAAGAGTGACTTGCAATAAAGACTTCTGCCGGGTTTCCAACAAGAGCAAATAACCATGAAAGTTCCATCAAGATTCCCAATCACTATGTTCTGTTTCAGATATTTAAGAGAATAATATTGATATCGGCATCATATTTTAGTTTATTGATGATATCAATCGAAACAAACAAACTATGTTTTAGGTGAAGACACCAAAATCTTGAAGCACGGTGTAATTAGCCATCAAAATCTTCATCTTCGTCTTCATCTCATCTCATGTCATCAAAAGTATATACACTTCCCCTTTTTTTTTCTTGCAGTTTTTTGTTACAATTTCCATGAGATGGATGGGCAGGGGAGACTAACAAGCTCATACGAACACAAGCTCGATACGACCTTTCAACCTCTAAGCAGTGACCCTCTGGATCCAAACATCTGCTCCAGGAGTATCACCATGGCCATCGCGAATGCTGCATCGAGCTCCGGCTCCACCACCAGGCGGAAGACATCGAGGCCAAGGGATATGCCTTGAGCAGACTCCTTTTTCTGGATCTCTGCCAGTTGCCGTCGCCTGCTGTCGTAGATGGCACAGCACCGCCGTGAGTAGGAGCCCTCGGCGTCGTAGGCAAGGCGCGACTCGGTGCCCGACGCGCACGGGGTCACTCGCGCCAGTCCCTTCGAGTGCAGGAGGCCCGTGTGCTTCTTCTTGACCGCAAACCTGGGGTTGATAGCCTCCTCGCCATCATAGATTCGCCAGTGCTCTCCCAGACTCAGCTTCTGCATGTTTTCAGAGAGTTTAATTCACCATTATTAACGAGCTCATGATACTTATATGGATATCTTCTGCATCATCTCTGTTCCTTAGCTTTTCTTTTGTTCAGGCAAAACAAGCTCGATTGAGTTGAAATAGACTTCTACGGTTTGCTCTAAACTCGGTTCATTGATCTCGATTCATTTTAAATCTGTAGTTTCAGCATGGGATTTCATTTGCTGTAGACAGTCACGCATCGAACTCATAAATCTTTTGGAGATCACAGTTAGATTGGTCAGTGTCGGGAAACAAATTTGGCCACATCAAAGATGTGTGTGTTTGACTGAAAGAGTTTATGTGGTCTTCGTCTATAAATAAATTGGTTATATTCATCAGCCATCCTCCTATCTATCCTCGAGCCATTTACAAACATTTTCTTGCTTGTAGAAACAAATCAAAGTAGTCTTACAAACAATAGAAGTCAGACAAAAAGTACTATTCTTCAGATTTCATTTTTAGGAACAAGGAATGGGGTCTAAGGATTGCATTTTGTAATGATGCTCATGGCTTTAGAACATGTAATTTGACTCGAGACGATCGAAACATTTCTCCACTAAACAAAAGCAAACAAGTTGAGGTAGGAAGCTCAAATTCTTGATCGACCTATGAGCTCGCTCATCTTATTCCGATTTCTCTTTCATAAAGATCAAAATTTTCACTACTTGGTGTTCCAAATAACGCAAAGCAGAACAAAAAAGAACAGAGATTATTAATAAAACCAATCCAAATATGCAAGCTTTTCGATCGAACATCACGCTTTGAGCCCCAAAGTTGTAATTTTGCGTGCCGAAAGAAAGGATAAGAGACAGTATCGCAATTCAAGAACTCGGAAACCCTAGAAAACGCATAACAGGAAACCGTTTCAGATCCAAAGATTAGGCTTGTGGGGGGTACCTTTCGCCGGATGGTGAGCAGCGGCTTCCCGGCGGCGTCCATGAGAACGATGCAATCCCTACTCCCTGAGGAGTAGTTGTCCACCCGGAACACCAAGTGCCCCTTGGAGTCGAACACCGTGAACCCATTCCCGTTGAAGAGAAGCGACTTCCGCCACACCGTCAGCACCGTCGCCTCCGCTGCAGCCCTCCCTCCGCCGGCGCGGGGAGATTCAGGCCTGGGCGGCTCCTCCGCCGCCGTGGCGTGGGGGTGGACCTTCGTCATGTCCACCGGAGTCCGATGTCAGTCGAGATGGAAGAGACGACCGTGCGAGCTGCTTTTGGTGGTGCCTAACCGTCGCCGGTATTTATATCCCCGCATGGACGAAAATGCCCCTACGACGAAGTGGGAATGACGCGGAGGCACGTGCGGATGACGTCATCGTCAATCCTAGTATCATTGTGTATTAGAATTCCAGTAGTAATTGTAAGTGGCTCAGAAGAACTACTGAGCACTTCATTAGCATACATAACTACTGATGTCTATGCAAAGCTAATTTGGGAAAAAGGAAAGAAGTTGGTGAAATTTAAGGGGAAAAATTACTGGTAAACATCAATTGTATGAGTTAAATACTAATTAACATTAATCACTATTATCATATCCCGAATTTATAAAGTCTAATTGAATCGGAGCTTAAGTATCTTTAATCAGCTAGCAATTCTATATTTATGAGTTGATTATCTCATCGATATTGAGAATTATCTTATTCTTTCGGCACGAGCATAATAGGAGAAAGAGATGGTATCTTATATTTTATTATAAAGGATAAATGAACTCAATATGAATGGATAAATTATTTAATCTACTAATATTCTTATTCAATTTGATATAAAAGATGAAAAGAACAAGTCTAATCAGTTCCATTGAGGACAAGACACCAACCTGAGAATTCTATCACTGGTGTGATGGAACCTGGACTTAGTGCACTTGGATAAGAACATGTTCTTGTGCCTAAAGTGAGTGACAACATTAGTGCATCTCTCCATAAAGTGCCATCATAATAATTAGCTTGCAATAAAGTTGAGTTGGAATTGCAACACTCTCTCCTCTTCCTTCCTTTTTGTCATCTATTGTTGTCTCCTATCTTTTTCTCTCTTAAAGTTAGGTTACTGATCATCTTGACACCAACAGCTAAGCACTCATTCCACACAACCCATGGAAACAGCTTCCACCTTGGTTTAGTCGCTACTACCATCAAGAGGCAAGTAAGATGAGGAAACTTATCATGCATCAGATAATGTGTCCACAGTAGCTTAGCTAACAATCAAATCCAATTAGCTGATACAGATGCACACATCTCCATTATCAGACAGCTGAGCCACATATTATTTACCATTTCTTGTCTTACCTCTAAATGATTAAGTTCAAATTCTTATCGAAAAAAATATATAAAACGTGATTTATTCACCAATCAGCTTTCCAATGTAGTTTCTCATGCATTATGAAGTTTTGGGAATGGTATATTTAGCTGCCAACTTTTGGCACCAAAACTAGTCTTCTTCCTTTTCTCTTTTTGTGATCCTAACAGTTAGGACCTAAAAGAAGGAAGCTGAAATCTTGTAACTGTTAAGTTCTACAATGAGTTTTTAGTGCAAAACGCATCATGCTTTTGTTTGTAGGGCATACAATTGATTCATGTGTTCTCCATCGAAGACCTTTTTCTTTCTCAATCAGTTATCAAACTGGAGTGTGGTTAGATGAAATGCTATAGGCAATCATCAGCATGCCGAAAACGAAGAACTATATGCCAAATGAACTGTTGATGTGGCCCATTATAATCATCTTATCTTAATCTTATTTCCCTTTTGATTTGCTTTCTTGAGCTTATGCCAAGATGACCATGGTCTGACATAATCTTCTTTGGTCTTTAATGGGTTAGCGCCATCCTAAGCCTCCATCGTGTGTCACTCTGGTGTTGAAAGCATGCCAGCTTATGGAACTACATGATTCTTTAGGGTGACAGTAAAGTGACCAAGACATATATTAAAATCTATCTTAGATTCTTTGTGTTGAGACCAGACGAGCAATTATTATGTCTCATGAATCTAAACCCTCTTCTGCTTGCATGGTGGAAAACAAATGCTCCATCTAACATTAAAAGAACTCATTTACAAACGTAGCCTTTTCCACAAACAATATATCAGATAAAACAGGAAATCCACAAATGAATTTATTTATGCTTCATGTACTAGAAAAGATGATCACAGTTTACTGATGTTGGTTAAAGAAAACGCGGCTGCCAATGATAACTGTCGTTGAGGAATAGAGAAGAACAGATTCCAACTTGGGAAGAGAAGCCAAAACCCTAGCTTGATCCTTGCGTCAAGATCCCATTGGTTAACTACGCCACTTCATGGGTCCTTCATGTCTTGGGGGGAAGACCAGAGAAAGGAGAAGCTGAGGTGAGAGGTGGTGGTGGGGGGAGATGATGAGGCTGGAATCATCAAGAACAAAGAAAATGATAAATGCGCGTGCTTTCCCCCACTCAATTCTGCACCTTTTTTTCTTTGCTGTGCATAAAACGACGCATGGGGCTTTGTTTGTTCATGCACAGCTGCTTCTGTGGTCGTGATTCCGACTCATCCTTTTCCTGACAACAAGTTTGCTCGAGCATGGCTGCCTGTGTCTCGAAGGATCAAATCAATTCTGTTCTCTCAAAAAGTCGAACCAGTGTCAGCTGTCTTGATGTTTCGATGGTTCCTCGCAACAGAAGACACTTTGCTCATGAATCGATTGATCTCCGAGAAAGAGAGAAAGGACACCAGGATAAATGACATGCAACAGCATATGACCGGACGTCTCAGCATCTAATGTTAATTGTAACCATTGATCTCATCGACATGATGCTAATATATAATCCAATGTGGTATTGTTGCATGCAGATCGACAATCTGTATATTATCGTCATGCACACAACAGTGTGGTACTGTTGGAAGCCATTGAGACCCGAAAGACTTCCGAGTATCAAATGATTTGGGTTGGATGCGATGAATATTTCAAGCAGATCAGAGGTTGACATGCGAAACACATCCATTCAACGAAATCCGTCATTGTATCAATAAGATTCTCTCACCTTAATATAAGATTTCAAATTATCTTGGAATTAGGATGGTATTGTCGAACACACATTCGATGCTGGTCTTTAGAAGGAGTCATCTCGAAAGAATATTTAGTCATCCATCTTACAATACCTAACACAACATATTGAGATATAAAGTATGCGTAAATGTCACTTTGTGGTCATAAAAGATGGAAAGAAATGAGCATATGAATCTTCCTCCTTACGTTAGCAAGGAGTGTTCCAATAGCAGAACTCGCAAGTGTTCTTCGAGGTGAGGAAACCACACCACATCTTTACTGACTTCCTTGTCCTGATGATATCCTGGCAAATCTACCACTTCACCATGTTGATTTTGCCAGCACTGCACGCTTGGAAAAGTAGCTTCTTAGACTGGCAGCAAGCTAAAGACGATAATGAATCTGATCACCTGCTTTTAAGAGCCACGATCTATGATCAATGTTCATGCAACTTTTGACTTGTGTTGTACTCTACAGAAAGAAGCTAATCACCTGTTTTGAGAGCCATAATCTACCTCTATGCTCAAATCTAGTGGAACTTTTTGACTGTAAACACCTACCTTTATGTAATGCTCAAAATGAGTGCAACATTTGGCTTGCATGAAAGACTTCAGAAGGAGGCTAATCATCTTCTTTTAGGAGCCACAAACTGCTTCTTTCTGCAATGCTTCAAGTTAAGGGTGTCATCAACATCCAAACCCCACCATGGACAATACTTGCGCAAATGCTTTGAACTTTAGACCACCACACCGCCATCAAACCCCACCATGGACAATACTTTAGACCATCCCCCACCCTTATTGCTGCAATGACTTCTCCAGCTACAAGGGCTAAACACATGGATCTCTGCACTAACTCTACTGAAATGTGACACTGTTTAAGTGTGCATCACTTCTTTTGCATCTTCTCCCACATCATCTGCTTGATTGGGAACATGTGGTCACATATGGAGTGTGACACCTGTAAAGGTAAGACTTCCACATGGCGCACATGGAGATAAAGATGAGGGAGCTGATGGAGACTGTGGCCTCTTTGATCGATCCAAAAGGCATCTTGGAAGAATATGAAAGGGCTGTGGAATTGAATGAAGTTGATAATGATGTCAAGATCTGAGGGAAAATGTGGAAGTTATGGATAGATATGGCTTCCTTTCGACATGCTGTGGAAGCTGTTGAAGGAATCATGTAGTTTTCAAGGGGTTGCAACTTGTGTGGTGAGAAGATAAAGTTCTAAAAGGCATAGTTCTAATCACTCTTCTTTGTTCCTGTTCTGAAAGAGAAATGTTGTTCTTGAATGATCATCTGGGAGAAGAAGATGCTTCAGAAGATCTTCTGCTGTGGCATTATGACCAAAGTCAACAAAAACCCACTTATATCATCCATGAACTGCACATTGATGATAACTGATTAAGGAAAGCAGAAGCACAAGGAAAATATATTTGATTAGTTGACAAAACATAGGTGGATTATACTTACATGATATAAGTGACGAAGATGAGATTTGACCAAATCTATGACTTGCAACAAGTGAATTTGATTGAGATTTCATAACCTAGAACATATCATCTTCTATAACTTGTTTGTGTTCTTTTTTCACTTGTCAATTTGGGCATTACCTGATCATACTGCTTTGTATGAATTGGACTTCATTGTTTGATAATAGAGCTGCATGACATGTAAAGATTAATGACAAACATGAGGAGCTATGATCAATGTAACATGTCCAACTCTCAACTTGTAAAATGTTTCCATGAAAATAAAATTGCTTTGTCTAAAGACTACATATGACAAAATCATTGACATAACAAATCAAATATATAAATTGTCTCCGGTACAACAATTTACAATTTAAAACCGGCAATTTGGCATCATTTTAGTTTAAATATAGTCATATCCCTTCGGGCCGCCGTTAATTTTCGATCCTTATGGGCCGATTGAGATAAATTATATTTAATTTTTAGGCCTATTGGCTGGGTTGAGAGGAGATAATAGGAAGTCCATGCATAATATACAAAAGTTATATATATATATATATATCATACTTCAGAAAATTCAAGTGAACCATCGTTTATATTAATTTATTTAAAATAAAAATATAATATGTCTAAATTATCCGAAACGGATGTCAATGTAAATTAAGTAACACACAAATAAGATTTTAAAGTTTTAGAGTGTATACATATAAGGTTGATCCGAATCCGACATGAACTATCAACTCATATACTAGTGGGTTAGATTAGATTAGGTCAAAACAGACCCAAGTCATGGAATAGCAAAAAAATTTAGATCCAATTATGTGGGTGACTCAAAAAAGATCTCCATCTTAAACTTCGGCTCTCCACTCGTAAGCCTAATGAGTCATCTCAAACCAATCGTTTCGGTTTGACCTGATCATGATATGAGGAGTGCTGTCATCCCTATTATTTGGTCAACCATTTTTTACCGTACCTTTTCTCTCTCTCTCTGGATCTACTGGTGTCTAAACATGGCCATTCGTATCCCCACTTCTCTTCCCTCCTCGCGGTGCTGCCGCTGTTGCTCCTCCACACGGCAAGCGCGGAGAACGAGTGAAGGAGAGCAGAGGCCGCCTCTGAACGGGCGCCGTGCCCCAGATCACATGTCACGGAAGCCTATAAATCCAAGTCATGGCAATGGTTTGCTACAGCTCCGACGACGGCCCTGTGACGTCCAGTTGCGCTCTCGAAGGATGAGGAGAGGAAGGGAAGGGGCCCAGGTGGCGTGGGCGACGGCGTTCTTCCATCTGTTTCCACCCCTTCTCCTCCTCCTCCACCGCATTCCGGCGGTAGGGGCCGAGGATCCCTATCTCTACTTCACGTGGAACGTGACCTACGGCACCGTCTCCCCCCTTGGCGTCCCGCAGCAGGCGATTCTGATCAATGGGGAGTTCCCCGGCCCCAACATCAACTCCACCACCAACAACAACATCGTCGTCAACGTCTTCAACCACCTCGATGAGCCCTTCCTCTTCACCTGGTTTGCACCCCCACTGCATCTTCTATGCATGCTTTATATATATATATATATATATATATATATATATATTGTATGTCATCTTCATCTTCTTCTCAGATAAGAGTGGTTTACATATGGCAGGAACGGGATTCAACAGAGAAAGAACTCGTGGGTGGACGGCACGGCGGGCACCAATTGCCCCATCCCTCCGGGCCAAAACTTCACCTACCATTTCCAGGTCAAGGACCAGATAGGCAGTTTCGTCTACTTCCCCGCCCTCGACATGCACCGGGCCGCCGGCGGCTTCGGCGGCCTACGGGTCAACAGCCGCCTCCTCATCCCCGTCCCTTTCGCCGACCCCGCTGACGACTATACCGTCCTCGTCGGTGATTGGTACACCAAGAGCCACAAAAACCTCGCCAGGCTCCTTGACGCCGGCCGCACCATCGGGCGTCCCTCCGGCATCCTCATCAATGGCCGCCCCGGTAAGGACTCCACCGGCAAGGACGATCCCCCGCTCTTCACCATGAAGTCCGGGAAGACCTACCGCTACCGCGTCTGCAACGTCGGCATGAAGGTGTCACTCAACTTCCGCATTCAATCCCACGCAATGAAGCTCGTCGAGATGGACGGCTCCCACACGGTGCAGAACGTGTACGACTCCCTCGACGTGCACGTCGGGCAGTGCCTGTCGGTGCTCGTCACCGCCCACCAGGAGCACCGGGACTACTACATGGTGGCCTCCTCTCGCTTCACCAAGTACGCCCTGTCCGCGACCGGCGTGATCCGGTATGCCGGTTCCAACACTCCGCCGTCCCCGGACCTCCCGGCGGCGCCCTCCGGCTGGGCGTGGTCGTTCAATCAGTGGCGGTCTTTCCGGTTGAACCTCACCGCCAGCGCCGCTCGCCCCAACCCGCAGGGATCCTACCACTACGGTAGCATCAACATCACCCGCACCATCAAGCTCGTCAACTCGGTCGGGCTCGTCGACGGGAAGCGGCGCTACGCGCTCAACGCCGTGTCGCACTCGGACGCCGCCACGCCGCTCAAGCTCGCAGAATACTACGGCATTGCCGACAAGGTGTTCAAGTACGACACCATCGCCGACGAGCCGGCGGCGTCCGACGCCCCCATCAAGATCGTCCCCAACGTTGTCAACGCCACCTACCGGACGTTCATCGAGATCGTCTTCGAAAACCCCGACAGGAGCATGCAAGCCTACCATTTGGATGGCTACTCCTTCTTCGCCGCCGGGTGAGCAACCACCTGCTGATTCCAAAACGCCAATTGGATCAGAGCTTATTGTAGTTGATGACTGGGTGCAGGATGGGGCATGGGAAGTGGACGCCGGAGAGCCGGAAGCGCTACAATCTCGCAGACGCGGTGAGCCGGCACACGATCCAGGTGTACCAGCGGTCGTGGTCGGCGATCTTGCTGACGTTCGATAACGCGGGGATGTGGAACCTGCGGTCAGAGCTGTGGGAGCGGCGCTACTTGGGGCAGCAGCTCTACATCAGCGTGGTGTCGCCAGAGAGGTCGCTGAGAGATGAGTCCAACATGCCGGACAACGCGCTGCTCTGCGGCGCCGTCGCCAAGCTCCCCAGGCCGCCGTCCTACATCTAAGCGCAAGGCTGCTCGCCATTGCCGCCGCCGCCAGTCCTGAGAAGATAGTTGGAACTCGATATAAGGGCGTAGGTGGAGACAAATAGAGAAGCAAGAATAAAGAGAGGAAGTAAGAGGCCATTCAAAGGGATTTGCATTAATTTTTATTTGAGTGAAGTTTTTTCTTTTTATTTTGGCATCTATAGGTTGGCTGTAACGATGGTATTGCAAATTTGCAAACCCTCACCAATCATTTATTTCCCACATTTTCTTCAAATGGGTTCTATATTTCACTATGAATTTTATTTTTATTATTATTATTTTTAAATCATCAAATTTTGAAAGAATGTCATGTTTTCCGATATGCATTTAAATGATATCATTCTTACACATAGAGATATTATTTTCATGTTTCAGAATAGGTTAGGATTAAGCGATTATATATAATGTAAGAATCATTCTATCACTTGCATGAAATGTCGGAGAATTCAATGACTGAAGCTATGCCAAGCCTAACTTATAACACCAACAGAAAGATACAGAGTGAACAAGATCACAAGTATCAGATTAAAAGCCTGTGTGCCAAATAGCAGTAGTTTCAGCCAAAGCATGCATGCCAGAACAGATTCAACAGTAGGCATATATAATGTTTCAAATGCATGTGCTGTGTACATTACAATCACAAAGACTAGCTATTTGTCTGACATGGGTAGAGCAAGAACAAATAGACCCTGAGGTCGGTGATTGGAGGAGTCTGATCCAGACCCTAAATACAAAGAGATGATGCAAAAGAATTGTTATTAGTATGTCACAAGGGCATATACCTAGCCGGTAAGGTCTCTCAATTAGGGTTCATCGATAGGATGTGGTGTATCGACAACTGGAGGTACGGCATCGACCTTGTACCGCAAGCTCTGTAAACATATTTCAAAGCAGCTGAGACAATTTGAAGCTACACTGGAAGAACCAAATCAAATTCCAGGTTACCAAGTCATTGGGCCCTGGCTTAACCTCGCTATATATGGTGTCAAGCAGAGACAACTTGCTTTTTAAGAGTTGCATAGATCTATTTTATCCAGTGGTTAGCACATTTAGTATTGATATCAGTCATCATTTCAACATATCTATGTTGTTGAAAGACACTGAGTACCTTTGTCAGAAATCTTTTTTAAGATACAGTGTATACTGTATACTACCAAAAGAAAAAACTCCCACAAATTAAAAAAGAAAACCCAGAAACAAAGCCATCAAGTTGAATAATAATCTACAAAGTCAGGTTGCAGAAAGTTCTTACTTTTTTGGAAAATGTTGAATAAGAATTGTCCCATTTAAGTTTGTACGATCCAGCCAGGATTGTGCAGAAATTTCCCTACAAACAAATTGAACGCGTATACTTGAGATTACGAAGTCAAACAAATCAGAGTTATCTACTAACAAACAGACAGACAACAGCATTAACTCACTTGGTCAGACACATATCTCCGGTATGGTAAAATTAGCTGCAGAATGGAACTGTCATCAGATGCTTAAAACAAGAAATACATGAAAACATAAAATGAACACAAATCTATTCTGTTGCAAGACTGTTTTTTAGCAAAAAAACAGTGATACTGAGAATAAAGTGGATCATGCAAAACTTGTATTGAAGTTCAATCATCTTCATGAAATAAAGCAGTCTTTACCGTAACATCACCAGAAGGGTTAACATACTCCACGTGAAATCCAATGTCCTGTCCATGCAAATAAGCCATTGCTTAAGAAACCTCCAATATGATATTATCTTTGCAACAGGAACTATGTATAAAGAACTGAAAGTGTTCCAATTTAAGCAAAAATCTTTGCAAAAGTTTAACCAGTCGTGTATCTGTCTATTTAGTTAGGTAATTAGTTGAATTGTCAAATCCAGTTTGGATAACGTCTATGCATTTAGCCAGTATAAAGAGAAGAAACATCTTAGCCAATCAAAGTTTTTGATAGGAATTATTATATATTGCAAATCTTGATGCTATTAGCAAGGTCTGCCATACCGAAGCATACCGCCCATACCGGGCGGTACGTACCGATCATGCAGGTTACCGGTACGCGGACCGTCCGGTACCGCTACAGTGCTACAGTATTATACTGTAGCACTGCTACAGTATGAAAATTAAAAAATTATTCGGTACACCAAGGTGTACCGCTCGGTATGCCCTGATGTATCGCCCGGTACACCGGTATCATACCGTACCGAACCCGGATCGAAACGCCGGTACGATACGGTACGGTATAACAAACCTTGACTATTAGCATATTTGTTCACATTGCAAGAAAAAAAGTCTGTACTGGGATAGAAGTATACATATGTCTTGTTCCAACTTGTAAAGTTTTCCGGCTCCAGATAGGGTTAAGTCGTCACACAGAACTCAGGAAAACCTTAATAAGAAGGCTTTGGTAAGAATTTCTCTTCATTTCAAAAATTCTCTCTGCAGTTTTTTAGTCCAAACATGTGCCAACTGGGATGTCCCTCCAGTAAATAGCAAGAGGCTCTGTGAGCCACATAAAACTGATGACAATTAATAACATAATGCTATGCACATATACAGAAAATTTCTTGTCAGTGCTGGAGATGGTCTGTGTACATTAGTAAAACATGAAAAATGATTTGAAAGGAAACACACATAATGAATGGTCATCAAGAAAGGAGCGGTCATGCAGAATGTAACCAACTTGCCAAAATACACTATGCCCAGCATATGAAATTAGTCTGATGACATTCAGAGAGATGTCTAAGATCCTTAAGTATGATTAAATTGAGGCTTGCACAGAAATTGAAATTGACCAAGAAAATTTAATTTCCAAGACAATCCTTACTTATGTGAGTACCTCGTGGAAAGTATATTCAACTCACCTAGCCCATGTAATAGCCTAATCTTTCTAACTAAATGGGTAAAAGTTAAACTAACTCCAGGAATAAAAATAAACTCTTAACTGAAAATTGTTGTTAGCCAGACTGGAATTTAAAATTTTCTTAATATGACAAAACACATACAATTTATATTCAGAGCCAGATTACTGGGTTGGTCCCTCTGCCGAACCAATCTAATGGGAAGTATGACTTTAAATTGAGCGGCCTGCATCCTTATGATTACGTGCTCTACTTATAAATAAATAGGACAAAAGATAATACATCTCATAGGTAAACTTCGTATGCATTAAGTAAATATGAGACAAAATGGCAAAAACAGCGGAAGCCAACAACATCACCAAATCCCAATGTTTAAGATATTGCCAGAGTTTCCAGTCGCTGAAAGAATGTAATCCAAATTCAAGATTTCTGGCATCCAACCCATAAGCAATATCAAAGCATTTTATTTATGCTAAACAGTTAATCAGAGCATGTGTTGACACATAAGCAGAGGATATCTCAAACTCTTTTTGTGGTCCAAAAGGATTTCAATTATCTTGATGTCATATTTAAAATATCAAATTCCATGTTAGATCAACCATCAACAACTTTATATTATAAGAAACTTAAGGCTCCTTGACCTTAAGCTTACACAAGAAGATAAAATAGTTTGTAGCCACATGCAGAACGGTCTCAAATTATATTCAACCATCATATCTTATGATTTTTCAAATATCTGCTCAACTAAGAGTCTAAGATAATCAACATACAACATACTATGGAAGTTCAATGTAAGATAATAAACTCTCTGCTTTGGCAATCAACCATTTAAATCTTTTTTCTGACCAGTAATTTCTGAGAAAAAATAAATGTGGCATAAAATATTTTAAAAATTCAGTAATGGAATTTCTGAACTTACGTGGCTGAGGGTCCCTTGGATGAGTGAGAAATCCCAAGCAATATATGAATTTATAGATTCAACTGTTAATGTGATCTGCAAAATAAGCAACACCAGATTCTTGCAACTTGAAACGGAATTTAAAACTTTAACTTTCTTATGATAAAGATGTCAGGAAATTTAGATAGTTGCCATATTGCAACATAAGACAGTCATTTTTTTTTCTAGATCACAATTTAAGGATGCCAGCATGAAATATCCACACATCACATCCATACCATACTCAAAGAAGAAGCTTTATTGGTTAACTACGGTATCTAAAAGAAAGCCTGGCTTGGTGAAAAAAAAGATAATGCAATAAGAATCATGAAACCAATATTCACAAAGAAACTAAGAATCCACACTTCTGAAATCCTTTGGAGCCCATTCAACTGCAACGAAAATGAGAGATAACTGTTCTCCACTTAATTCTTTTTCCATGGAAAAGGAATATGTTGTCCAAATTGTAGAAAATGAAAATGTTTTTCCTTTTCATCTTCTAGAGTTTGGAATGCAAAACAAAAAAATCTTTCTTTTTCAAAAGATAGCTCAAATAGGCTTAGGAATGATGTTTAGGAAAAGTTCTATTTTTTTTTTCTGAAGAAAGAAATTCAGACAAGGTTAACTTTTCATACAATTCTGAAAAACAATTCTTAGTATTATTCAGTTTTGCAACTAAACAAATTCTTATAGAAGAATAGTTATACTCCCACCATACTGCATCTGCACCAATAACAGACAACGTACTCAATTTTATACGCACCATTGCACGCCAACTTTGAAAACAGATGTCAGCAAAACTTGAATTAAATACTAGTTTAATTAATATAACTTAAGTTTCAAGAGTCTTACTCCTAGACTCTTAATTACTGAACAATTTAATTTAATCACCAAACAATTAATGGTTCAGGAGCTTACAAGTTACAACATCTAAGGATATTGCTGAAAGCAGCAACAAGGGTGTCTCTTTGCAAATTAGAAGCACGGTAGATTAATAGAGCTTCTGCTCTGTGATTAAGAAACTGAAAATTTTCATTCAGTTTCAGTTTTTTATGCAATAAAACCACAGAAACCAAACTAAACTGTATGTGATTCATCAGCTCAGCTATTTAATGTTGGATCTATTAGCAATGATTCAGACCATGAAACCCTTTTAGTTGTCCCCAGTTGCTTACCTTGAGCCCCGAGTAGGACACCCTACTACTCCCACAACTGTCTCACTGCCTCCCCCCTCCCTCTCTAACTCCTCTCCTATATCGCTGCCCATCTCTCTCTCTCTCTCTCTCTCTCGCTCTCTCTCTCTCATCCCTTGACCAAACAGGTGCCAGAGCAAGCATGCTTTGACACAAGGAAAGGGGCAAATTGTTGACATTTGACATCAGGTCGGTGGCCGAACAGGATAATAAATGAAAGTGACAAGAAACACCCCCATCTCTGAACTCTAAGCTGATGCAATAGTGGTACTTCTGACATCTCCAATCCCTATGCCTTCTCTCCCTTCAACTCAGTACTTCCGCTACGTCGTCTTAGCACAAGTTACACCCATTCACCTTTCTTAAAAGTTAAATCCACTTAAGACTTCTTTTTATTATTTTTCATTTTTAGTGAAAGGAGTGGTTGATACTAGATTTTGATCTGTGTGATATCTCCCACAAAATATTCTTCGATTTTGTTCCTTTTTTGTTTTCACTGATTAGTGGTTCTTGGCAATGGTAGCTGACAACAGCCATGACAATCATATGTCAATCAACTCTTTCTTTTTATTTAGATCAAGAATCTGAACCAACAATATCAAATGCAGTTCAGATCTTTTTCTCTTTGCAAGCTACATCTAGTTATGTTTTAAGTGATAAAAAACACCAAACAGTTCAGACTGTCTCATATAAGAGGATAAGTGGATAACTAAGCCAAACAAACTAAATACACCCTTAATATTAGTTGTAGCATCAAATTATCATTAAAAATAAAAACAGAGATGGTTAGGTACAATCCGCATAAGACAATATTAGTGGCAAGGTATATATACCTCATGTGTCTTTCCTGGAGGAATGATGGTTTCTTTATAGTCATCATAACTTTTCCTGATAAAATAATGAACAACCTTTAGAAACTGAATCTCTATCATTCATTCTGTTCATGTTTATGAAAACTTAAGAAAAACATTCAATGATGGGGGAAAATGCAAGCATGATATAAAATGAGGAAGAAAATGCCTTGATTCAGTGGCTCCTGCATCCTCTGCCCTTATAAAAAATGGGGAATTTGCATACACCTTACTGTAGAAACATGAAGCTTGAATGTTAATTATCAGGCAGATTAATCATCAGAAAGATCTCATGCCGATAAAACAGATGAACATTTAACAAACATAAAAGCATAATTAATGCCATGCCCCCAAATCAAGGAATGTGACGGTCTACCGAATGACCATCAGCTAAACAAGTTCAAGTCTAACCTTTTTTCTTTTTGAAACCAGAACTCATAGTCCTACGGATCACACGTTTACAACTCAAGGGTATATTTCTCACAAGATGATACAAGATGATAGTATGCTATTAAAAGAAAAAAAATCATTTGATAACATATTTTCTCCATAATTCCTCCTATAGGGCTACTACGAGCACTACTTATACTATCTCCTTGCTTCTGACTTAGTGGATTCAAAACGTTATCACTTTGTCGGTCTGAAGGCTTATGACCCTTGGAATCCACAATGATAATTAACATTCCAAGCTTGAATGTTAATTATCAGGCAGATTAATTGTTGATTCAACTACAAAGGCTTATATCTCATTGTGAATTCTAAGGGTGGTAAACCTTCAGAACACGAAGGTCAAACCAATGAAGGGATGGCGTTTAAGTCCACTAAGGCGGAAGCAACGAGGTGGTATAAGTGTTACTTGATAGTAGCCTTGCAGGAAGAATTACAGAGAAAATATGTTATCAGATTTTCTTTATAACATACTATCATCATGTGAGAAAGGTACCCTTGGGTGATAAACTGATGATCCGACACAGGATGGTGTTTAAGTCCATAAAAGATGTTATCCACAGGATGATATTTGATTTTCTTGAGTTTAGTATGTACAATCAAGATGAGTATATATATATATATATATATATATATATATATATATATATAAGATGAAAAAAAGAAGTTACATTAACATTTGAATACAAGCACATAATTCATCTTATGCATATTGATTTATTTTTATTAAAAAATAAATATATTATTCTTATTGATGCGTTGTTAATTATGTTAATGTGTTTAAAGTTATATAATATTATATATATATATATATATATATATATATATATATATATATATATATATATATGATGTGTTGTAAATTATCTTAAAAGTAGTTAAAGCAGAGCATGTCCACTTACTCAGTTAGAGGTGTGTATTGATGTCTCACGTGTTTTAGAAAGAATTTTACATTAAAGGACACTTGAAAGCATTGATGTAAAAAAACTATATGACTAAAAAATAAGAGAATTAGATCATTTTGTACCAAGTCAATATTTAAATATAGTATTTATCATTATTATGATTATAATGTGTGTAAATTTACATTTGGGTGATGATGAGTTAGATTGGTTTCAAAATAAAAATATGATCGGACTTAAACTTGTTTAGCCCATGGTCATTTGATGGACTGTCACGTTCCTTGATTTGGGGGTGTGACAATTAACCATTCAAATTCATATATATTACAGCTAATCTGTTAAATCACATCAATAAAAAGGATGCAAACTGCTAGAAGAAGGCAACACTATTATTTTGTAAAGCTCATTAAAATCAACAGCTAGTCCACAGGTGCAATTGGTAACAATTTCATAACTGAAGCTCTAAATTCTGGTGTCACAAAAAAAAAAAAAAATCAATGAAAAGCAGAATGCTTTTAGCAAAAAGCATGTCATGTTCTTCAATAGAGGCAACAATATACAACGAAACTAAGCAGAGTTGTCAGCTTTAGAAGTGCTGACTAAATCAGAAGATATAGCAACAAATAAGCTCTAATCTGTATTTTTTTTCATTTCATCCTGAAGTTATATTACTGTTCTCTTGGAAGTTATGGAGAAATAAGAATATAATCTAAGATTGTGAAAATTTACATGCAGCACATTCTGGAAGATCTACATAGTTGTTAGTTGTAATGGATTCTAACTAACTGTATATGAACCAGTTCAAACATAATTGATACCAATGCATAAGAACTAAATTACATGCAAATTTAGTTCTTTTCAAGAAAACTTTCCTACATATCAAGAAAACTTAAAGGGACAATGTAAAAAAAAATCAATATTAACAGCCTTGTGCATGTGCATTAAGCAACTTCTTAAATAGGAAAACTAGAGAAAATTAGGGGAAGTTGCCATAGACATAAGAAAATTGTGGTAACGGAAAGTACCTGATAAATTTGATGAATTTCTCAAATTCATGTGTGTATAGATCGACAGCATGCTGCATAAGAGAAATTTGATCCATTTGTCTGCTCAACATAAACAAAATGGTATCTGAAAATCAAACATGATACAAGAAGAAAGAAATTTTGCTACAGGATCATAACCAAATAAAGCACATCATATTTACATTTTCTTCTCCTCAAAACGCCCCCATGTAAGTAAAAGAAACAGTCTAATATTGAGCACCATCTTTGTGAGACTGTATAGAGAAGGCCCATAACGTTGTCTTTGTTCCTCCATCGGCCTAAAGTAACATGAAAATTGAAATCAAATATATGATTATATGTACATTAGTTATGCAACAGAATAGTTAAATGAAAATAAAAACTGATAAGTGAACAGTCCAAGAAAAGGATATAAAAGGATTACCCTTGATCATCATTTATTTGGCGTATGAAATCTAATAAAACCTGAGATAACGTGGATACTCAAGTTAATTTGGTTAACAAGAGAAAATAAAAAAATTATGGTTAAGAATATCATGCAGCAATCATACATAGGACATCAAGTGAAAAAAAAAAACAATTTATCGAGAAGGAGAACAAAGTAAAAAGTTATTCTTTATACAGTTTAAAATGAACCTGTGGGACGCCAACCAAGTACTTCACAAGTGTCTTGTACACCCCTGATGCAGAACCAAGCTGAGCTAGTTGTCTCCTCCTGGAGGATAAAATAATTATTTTTTTTTGTAGAGAAAACATCATCTGCAATGATTTTACTTATTTATGATGGCAAATAAATAAAAAATCACCACCTCTCCATTTGCTGCTGCCACAATAAAGCATATCGATCATGTATGCTTCCACCAGAGTTAACTAAAGCATCAACCTCAGCTTGCCTGTTCCTCTCTGAGCGTTCTCTTTGCTGTCTGATGAGAGAACCACGAAAATCTTGTGGCATATAAGTCATCACTGCAAATATATTTACAGACCCCCTAATTAATTACCAAGACAGAATCTTAGCAGTGAACTCATTAGCCAAGAAGACTAAACTGGCCAACAATGCAACTGAATTATATCATAAATCATTGTTCACATGAACAGATGAAATGAATCAGTTTCTAATAAGTGTTGCAGATGCCAAAGATCATTCAGACAAATGGGACGAGGTTGCAAGTTTAACTACTAGCCAAATGATGTTCAAAACACAAATTACTAGAAAAAACGAATTTTTTTTCTCAGTGCACTAGAGAGGGATGCAACGAAGTAAAATACAATGCATGATAAGTTGGAGATGACGGAACGAGCTTACTAAAGTGAACCATTAACAAGCAACCGTCTGCAAATAAGTCACATAGGACAACAACAGGAGGAAAAATAAAATAAAATCCTGATGTACACATCATGAACAACTTTATAGTGGAGAAAAAGTGTGACAGAATGGTTGAATAATCAAGATTTTTGGTGTTGATGGAATAACTAGACAAGAGTATATTAATAAGGTAAACATCAGTGTGAAACAATAAAAAATAGAATTAAAAATTAAGGGCAAGTCTGCTGTTAGAACGATCTCCAAGCACATAAACAAGGATAGAAGAGGAAACGACGCATAAGAAAGTAAAGTGAGAGAAACAGATACATATAGCAAAAGAATTAAGGAATTAGTTAGAGGATTAAATGAGAAAGAGGTAAAATGGACTTCAATAATTCCATCAAATATGCTTGTAATAATAGGAAGAACACAAAAGCTTATTGGTTGAATATCTATTATTTGACACTATCTAATCATCTGATTCTATTATAAGTTTAGAACCATGCTTTACTCATTCAGAACACATCATTCTCACTAGAACTATAGCTTAAAGCTGTAACCAAAAGAATGAAAGACAATTCAGAAATGCTCCAAATTTGAGTTTAAGTTATAATATAAAAACAAAAATATAAAAATATAACAAACATGAGACGAAAGTTGTTCCTTAAGTATCAATGTTCCGTGAAACAATTAAATTAATTAAAAGTGAGAGCCAAGCAACTCATTTAACCAATGGAGGATGAACAATGTGCAATTAAAGAATTTTTTACTAGTATTTCATTAATCTTCTATAACATATTAAATTCCCAGGTTATCTACTGAATGAGGTAGTGTCCATATGCTTATTATGTGGCTTCAACCTGGACAAAATTTCCCATAGCATATCTTTCATTTTATCTTTCCCAAAACCCTTAGTGAAACTTGAGAAAATTTAGAAGATGCCTCATCATTAATAAACTGAACGTTGGAGTTAGGTTCATGGATGGTAGTATAATATTGACAAATCATCCATGGTGTTTTCCTAAAATTGTATGAGTTTTTTTTAACTTTCCATAGGTAGTCAATATACAGAAAAATTCAATTAGACAATCTAATTTGAAAACCAGCTTATAATTTTACTTGTTTACCATTCATTGACTTCATTGTTTGTAACTAAGTATTAGGAAATTGTAATAACTATCCAAAAAGTAAGCAAGATTATCAGTATGCCAACCTGTATTAAATACATTATCAGCATTAGTTTGCTGAAATGCCTCCAGTGTCTTCAGAGTACTCCTAAGCTTAACTTCAAGTTCTCCAAGTGTAGCAGCTATATCTACATATTCAGGGATGGCTTTCTCTTGAAGCTGCATATGTGGAGGTTTACCCAACATTGATGCTAAATAGTCTTAAGAAGCAGAAAGATTTACTGATAGCCACCAAAATAAATGGATCATAAACAATAGGCTACAGAAATTGAAACAGTGAGTAAATCCAGTTTACTTCCTAGAAGAATAAATTGAAACAATGAAAAATGGATTTTAGTTTTACCAATCTTGGTCGATGAGATTCCTCGAGCAAAACCAAAATTTCTTCAATATTCTCCCTGTTCTTCCACAAGTTCTCATCAATTTTATGGGCAGGCTGATGGTCTACTTCATGTACCAAGAGCTCCTCACCTTCAAAATATAACAGAAAATTCTGTGATATACAGAAAAAGCTCACTGTTCAAACTTTCAAAATTATGGTTCCCTTGCAGATGTCAATTCACACTCTATAAGGATCTGCGCTGAAAACTTAAGAAGAAAATCTAAATTGTACAACAAATAAATCACAGAGGACCACTATAATTCAGTACTTCCAAATAACTTAAATTCAAGCACCTTGTCAAGTTAAGGGCTCTCCCAAATTTTTTTTTCTTAACCATTCGAGTAAGCCTACTGATTCATGGTCTCACTTAGTCTCAATGATATCCAACAAGTGTGGTCAAACAATCTCAAAGTTTACACATCACCTAAATAGAGCAAAAGTTCACACCAAAGGGTCTAGTCTAGCATAAAGGTTTCTGAATGTTCAAGCACTAATGAGTGACCGCAAGTCCATAACCTATGATAGAGTAACCAAGATCTAGGGTTATAAGTAAAATGAATGGACATGTCCACATATGTCCTAAGTTCTGAGGAAAACTTTCATATTACACTTCAAAAAAGAAACGGTCCACTTCAAATAAAAAGCGAGTTTCTAAATCCACATAGACTACAATGTTTCACGAAATTTCAAACAAACACAAGTACATCTCAGAACAAAATAATTTCCAGATATAGACTAAAATATCGCATTCTGTAAACCTAAATTTTCTCAATATTTCAGAAACAACATAATGCACTACTCTTGATTCATACTTAAGATTGAGATTCCAAAGGCAATGTGGTTGCGCTGGTTTATTTTTCAGTCTTTCCATTGAATATCATATTCGTAGAATGGATGTCCAACATTTCAAAGCAATCAGATTCACGAAATGGAACTTAAATGATACAGAATATGTGTGAATGATGCCATATTCTGGAGTTCTTACTCATCTCAAGCGCAATGAGAGCAAATGAGAATGGCATAGTATTTGTCATCAATGGACCATTGCCTTCAAAAGCTTAATCATGTCAGGAAGTACAACAATATTCTGAGAAATTTACGTGCTGTCCATTAAAAGGATAGTTTACAACCTAATTCACCATCAACAAACAAAAGTAGCTGCAAGAAAAGACTCAGGAATGCAGTCTGACCCAATTACAACTATAAATAAAAAATTCCCCATGAAAATTACATATCGAACTCAAAGTCCCTACGAAAACAAGAAAAAGACAACATCGCGACGAAAAAGCCAGGGAAATCACCAGAAGTAAGGGGGGATTCCCTCGCGAGCCCGTCCGACAACTCCCGGAGCTCCGCGGTGAGCCGCGATACGTCTTCTGAAAGCGGGGGCAGAGGGCACGTATCGTAATATCGAGCCAAAAAGGCCCTAGTGATCGGCACTAAACCCTCGGCGGACGAAGCCATTGCCACGAACGATCGACGCCTCGGCAACAAGAAGCCTTCCCTCGCCCAAATCACGCTTCGACGACCAGATTGGCGGAGGCGGCGATTCTGAGTCTCTCAAGAAGCATCATCGCCCGGGGCGGCGACCGTCGGCAACATAAGAAGCGGTGGGGTTAAAGAAGCTCGGGAGACGTCGATGCCCCATCTGACTCAACACGTGACCCGCACGCTCCCCGCTGGTGCGTGTATCAAAACTCTCGGTAGCTTTAATAGAACCGTTACCCAATCTTTCAGCGAGCTCACGGGGGCCACGTTTCGCGGGAGGTGAGCGTCAAAAGCGGTGTTTGGATCACGGAGTCGTAAGAAACGCAGCCTTCGTATTGTCTTGCTTCTGTTAATGTTTTTTACATGGACACCCTTGCGTAGTTTCCTAATTACTTATTTACCCTAATAAAGTTCGATGCAATAATATATCTTTAAACATTATGTTGGATTACCATTTGATTAGGCTAATTAATCTCAATCAAATATTAATTAAATCTAACAGTTGATCTGTAAAAGCCAATAGTCATTAACCTAATCGATGAAAATTAGTTTAACTATTAATTTCATGCATAAAACAAAAAGTTCATGAAAATTTTTCCCTAAATTGAGATAAATAGAATCTATCAAGCGAACCATCTTTGAGACTAGCAAACTAGCATGTTGATCACATCCTTTTGATTGGAGAAATGATTGCACCAGTTGTCCATGAACAATAAATACCCTTAATGATTGCATTCTAATCCACTCCTAATCCCTCAAAGAACAACTAAAATTGATGATAGCACACATTGCAACATAACCAGTATATGAAACTTGACAACTTTAATAATGGTAATTAATCTCGATTCTATCATCAGATCGTTGGTTGAAACATTGATTTACATTAATGGTTATAAGAAATTTATTATGATGGTAAGAATATTAGGGTTACTTTAGGTATTTTATGTTTTTATATCATTTTTCTTAAATATAAATTGCTTCCGGTTTTTTTTTCCGGAATCGAACCGGACCGAACCGTGCGCCAAATGCAGCCAATTCGAACCTTCGAGAGACGAACGAGATCGACAGTTACATTGTCCATCGGGCATCATCTCGGCCTCCGCATTGGTGCCGCAAGGTTTCCCTGATCGATGACGACCCTGACGCCGTCCACGGCGGCCGCATCGGTCGCGCTCTTCGCCCTGTTGGTGCGCGTCCTCGCGTCCCTAGGTCCGTACTTGGGGGCAGCAGCACGTTGCGGTACCGCAGGACTTCCCTACGCCGCCGCTCACCGCCATCCGGAACCTCGTCGATGCCTTCCTCCTGCCCTCTCCTCATCCCGCGGCTTCGGGTCCCACCAATTCGAGGTTCATTCCCTTTTGTGGTCTCTTAATGTGGACTGTTGGTTGCTTTTATGGTGGTGTATGTAGGAAACTGATGATGAGGTGAACGGTGTCGGCGCCGTCGGACTCGCTTATATTCTTTCCCGCGGTCATCTACTGTGTTTGTTGGATTACTTTCGGTGCAATGTTGGTGGTAATGGAGAGGAAGGTTCGGCGACGTGGTGCTTGCGTTGATACTGCTTAAAACAGAGCAGGTATACACTCGATATGCTTCCTCATGCACGCATAGAAGTACTCACAGAAATCTTCTTCACCAAATAATTGATGTTCCCTTCATTTCCTAATAAATGGTTTTGTTGCTTTCCATCGAGGTTTACTTTCTCCAAGCCTTTTGGAACTCCAATTTTGAGTTATATTCAACTCTCAATTTTGAGTTCACTTTGGTGGTTCATTTCCAATGAAACAAATTGGTCCGCAATGTCAACAGGTTTTGAATGATTACTTGTCATTTACTCTATGCACTAAAGCTTTGCTTTTCTAAAATTGGATAGTTTGAAGATAGAAATAAGTTTTTCTTATTTATTCACATGAATATGGATTTAGATATAGAAAACATACAAAATTGTGAATGCTTTTTCGAAAACTTGTTGAAATTATTATGAGGAGCAATCAACTTGATTTTAACCATAAAGCCTCCTTTTGTTTTCTAGCCGATATGTATATATTATTTATGTATATAAATTATAAATTGTTATTCAGGCTCGTGTAATAAAACAGAACTGAGGAGAAATATACGAGGGAGTAAAAATAAACATTGCTTTAGAATTAGAGGTTAATGAAGCAAGAGAAAACAGCTTGGAATGTTACCTGCAGCCTGAGAATTTTCTTTTTCTGTAGTTCTGCAATGCATTGACACTTGGAGGAATATGTACTGTCCAAATACAAAAATAAAAAAGATAATTGGAAATGGAGATCCCTTGTTATTTGGGCTCAGGTTTTGTTGAGAATGTGTATCCACCACTGTATTCAAAAGAATTGCTGCTGCTAACATCCTTTCTAGAATGAGAATCGTAAGGATGTTTAGGAACGCCTTTTGCATATCCAAAATCTGTGGCAGATGAAGATGCTGAATTTGAGTTTGTACTTAGACCATCAGCATTCAACATTATCTCGATTTCCTTCACAACATCACTCATTGATGGACGATCTCCAGCTGACTCTTCTAAACACCTCAAGGCCAACTCTGCAAACTTCCTGAAAGCTATGAGATAAGCTGCGTTTTGGATTGCATGATCCATCAACTCTTTTAAACCATAGAATTCTTCATCATCTGCATTTATCGCCATCTTCACCTCACGGACAATGTACTTTCCTTTCTCAAGTGGTTGTTTAGCAGTTATCAGTTCTAACATAACCACTCCAAAGCTATAAACATCACTTTTGTCACTCAACTGTTGTGTCAAGTAGTATTCTGGATCAAGATAACCCTGTAATGATAAGCATTAAGTTATTAAAGAATCAAACTAGGTCCAGTGGCAATATATTTTGGGAGAGTATATGGAGGTCCAGTGTATGTCTCAATTTAATCAATTGCTTATCTATGAACAGGTAAATTTTATCACTAGCAATAGTGGTTTAAAAACACATGAAAAAGAACATTCTGTTGCTGATAGAAGGAAGTATTTTTTGCTGATAAATGAAATAACAACTGCTAACCATTGTTCCTTTTACTTGAGTAGAAATATGCCCCTTCTCGTTGTCTGATACTAGTTTTGAGAGACCAAAATCTGCAACCTTTGCATTTAACTTTTCATCCAGTAGGATGTTACTTGTCTTAACATCCCTGTGGATGATTGGAGGATCAGCAAGCTCATGAAGATAAGCCAATCCTCTTGCTGAACCCAGTGCGATTCGAAGTCTCCTCCTCCAGTCAAGTAGTATCCCACTCTTTCCTGAAGTTGACATTGAAGAAAAAGTTATGACAAAGAGTATTAACTCACTTTTAGGGGTACAGCTGAACATACCAGAGAGGCCTTCTCTTAATGTTCCATTTGGAATGAATTCATATACCAACATCTGCTCCCCTTCGTCAAAGCAGAAGCCCACTAGAGCCACCAGGTTTTTGTGATGAACCCTGGATAGCAACTCAATTTCAGTCTTGAATTCATGCCCACCTTGCATTGATCCTTGCTGTGCCCTCTTGATTGCAACTACTTGCCCTCCTGGAAGCATTCCCTTGTAGACCTGAGGAGGTCGGTAGAAACATCACTTGTCTAAGTTTATAATTGTATGGTTGACATAGGAAAACCAATATGTTACCTTTCCATACCCTCCAGACCCAATTTCATTAGACACTGAAAAGTTATTGGTACATCTTCTAAGTTCATCGTACGAAAACCATCTTGCTCCCTTCAATTGTGGTGCATCAACAATTTCATCACCACTGTGTGCCCACGATGCTGAAATTCACAAAACGTACTTGTAAATGGTAAATGTTTCCATGTATTTTTTTCAGTACAGAATGAAATTCTTCTTACTTTTTTTGGTTTAACAATTTGTTTTCCTTATACACATGGCTTAGAGTTGTGTTCCTAGTCCTTTATTAAACTGAGATGCGATATGACACCCTCGGCGACACACCTTGTATCTACAGATTTTTTTTTTTAGATTTTATTATGACAAGTTTAAGGTACACTTACCGAAAGGTTTGCTTAGTTTTATGGCCCTTTGAGCCTGTTTCCTTTGTCTCAAGGCATAGATTGTTACGAGAAGAAGTCCAACAACCAGAAGTGCACAACCAACTGCTATTCCAATGATCAAGCCAATAGCTATTGGCGATTTTCCTTCGACGCCTAGATAATTTATTGAGTCAGCACAAGAAATGATCTTAAGTTATATTTGAACATAAAGGATGGAGAAGTCACCTGGGAAAGGATATTGGAATGCTTTGAAAGAGTAAGGTCCGAAAATTTCAGGCGGCTTGTATATTTGATTGCTCAATTTGAATCCAATCTGTAGAATTTCAGACCTGTTGAAGTACATTCCGCTGGATGGGAAAATTTTAACTTGTACCTGCAGGTAAGAGTCAATGTTGAAAAAGGGGTTTTGAAGAAACACTGATCCAGGAGGAAGGTCAAGTTTTTTCCACAGGCTGCTCTCCAATGATTGGAACAGTGTGCTGTTTGTCACATCTCGGAATAGAGGTGCTCTGAAAAACATCACTCCCTCATATGGGTAGACGCATTTGCAATTTTGTGGGTTGAGACTCTGATCTGGGGGACACAAGTTCGCTGCACATTCGGCAAGACTGGTTGAATAAGAAGGAATTGCTGGCTCTTGTCGAAGACTGCAAAATTTTGTATTGGAGAGCCAATCGCATAGAGGATTTCCTATGAGACTGCAGTCAACAACGGATTGAGGAAATGTTGGATAAACAGTTGCATTCAATGAAATTGCAGTCTGATTAAAATGTCAAATCTGCATCCAGAATTCTTACATGAGAGTTCTATCATAACTGGCGTCATGTGCAACTCCTGTAAGCTTATTGTTTTTGAAATTTACGATTTGTAATTGCTGGCTGATGCTATTGCCCATGTCAAGGGTTCCGTTAAATTCATTGTTATCAAGTATCCTGAAAAATGTTGACAACAATAGTCAAATTAGACCCAAGGATTTCTTTGTTTTTATATGGATTCCCTCTTTTGCCAGTTCATGATTTGTTACGACGCTTACACTTGCTGCAGTTGAGTGAAGCTGAACAGCTCTTTCGGCACCTCTCCATAAAGTCCTCCAGATTCTATCACTCTGG